AGGGAAAAATCAGATGTATTTATAGATAACCAGAGTTTCTTCCCTTTCATCTAGAACCTACAGACATAAAACATACAGACACGTGACGGTCACGGCTTAAGCAAGAAAATGTTTGTATTTATAGTTTTATTAAATTGAGGCCAGAAAGAACACTCAGCTGAAATATGCAGAAAGCCATGAAGGCTTTGGCTTTTGCAAAATTAAATAAAAAGAAATATATCATAATGTATATATCCAGCGTACTCACAAAATGTAAGAGTCTTCCATTCATAGCAGTAAACCAAGAAAATAGATGGGTTTTGGCTAAAATCAAGACATATAAATCAACATACTCTTGTTCTTCTCTTAGTTTTGATTTCTTCACTCCATTAAACAGTGCATCAGTCAGAGCAAACTGAAAAGAAGAATCCCACATTTCTAGAACTAGAGATTGAACCCGAGTCCTGACTGCATCTCTACTGATAGAAGCAGTACTTTACCCCCTTCTAAATTAAAATATGTTTGAAAATCAAGCTCAGAAAACATTTCAGGAATAGATCAATGTAGTTTCCTGTGCTCAGTTTAGCAATTAACCTGGAAAACCTATTCAAATTAATTCCAAGTCTTTTGCGCTGATGACTGCATAGATGATCGTCCAGGCAGTCTGCCTTTGCTTTAGCAACTCTGTGGACTGAGTAAGTCCAGGATGATGCAACATTAGTGTTGAGTCTCTGGAAATTATGTAGGAGGCTTGCTAATATCAGAGAAGTTTTTAGTATCAACTTTTTCTTCCCTTGATTGTTTTTCAAGATGAAGCCAAGAGGAACTCCAGCACTGCTTGAGCAGGCAGTTATTCGTAGACCGTTTTGGCAGTCCTTTATCAACGGCAGTTGAAGTACCAGTATCCCGCTATAAATAAGAAGTTTTGGTTAGTTCAAATATTTTTGTTTAATTGCTGTTTGTACTAACATTTTCAGTATCATGATGCATACAGCATAAAGAACTTCAACAATGACACAGTGCTCAGAAGTAGCTATTAAAGTAATGGAGCATAGGCTGAAAGGCCAAATTCTGGCATATATTAGAGATTTTTCCAAGAGAAAGAAAAGAGTTGACTATGCTTGATGCTGTAGCACTCATATTTAATAGATTTACTTACAGGCTGCAAAAAAGTTAGAAGCTTGATGATGATTTTGACACAAAATGTAGGTGACAGGACATTATTGAAAAACTGAGGGCCTTACAATACCAGGACACTGTGAAGAACCGTAGCAGATGAAATACTGTGTAAGCAAGTGCACATTAATACACATTGGAAGAGACAATTTGAGCTACTCATACACTTCAGTGGGTTATTTGGTTTAAAAAAGAGACAGATAAGAGATGACATTATAGATTTATGTATTAATGATAATGGATGAAAGAAAGAAAGAGAGAAAGAGAGAAAGAGAGAAGGAAAGAGAGAAAGAGCAAGAGAGAAAGAAAGAGAGAAAGAGAGAAAGAAAGAAAGAGAAAGAAAGAAAGAGAGAAAGAGAAAGCCAACACAAAAGTCAAGAGGAAACCTAAGGATTTGACCATCAATGAGAAAGTCATGAGTTGTAAATGGCTTTTTGCATACCATTTATGCAGGTAATTAATTAGATGATACCAGCTTCCTCTTCCAGACTGATACAGTAATAACTTCTGAATGATACTCTGGAAAACATAATCCATAGGTTTTTTTACATGCTGTCCACTTCTCAGTGTAGATGTAGCCTTCACATAGTAACAGTCCACATCTCATTTGTCATTTGGCGAGGGACAGTAGTTGGTGCCAGACCTATGCCTTGTGCAGTGTAATTTCCTTGGTGTGCTGGAATAGTTTGCTCAGCGTGGCACCCAAGGAGGCAGTGATGCTACTCTGTCAGTTATCACCTTACCCCATCTGGTGCCAACAATTAACATCTGCTAATAGCAACCTGATAGATGCTACTCTTTTCTCTGAATTGCTTGCTGCTCTCTTTTCATCATACCTAGCTTTATCAGCTGGATTGCAAGTTCAAGAGTTGCTGGATACCCACATCAGGATTTATTTTTTCCTGTAGCATCGCTTACTGTGAGGCAGAAGCACATAGGAATCTCATAGCTACTGAAACTGTGAAACTGGATTGGTAGAAGATGGGTACAGGATCTTTTTCCCCTCACTATAGTATATAGTATGTACGTATATATAGTATATAATACATATAGCTGTATTTTAGTACTCAACCTCTCCAGTTAAAGAGCATTCAAACTCAAGATGACTTTCCTGGTGGTTTAAAGCACACCTAGTGTCACTCATGCTGATTTCACCCCCTTTGGGAGGATGGAGTTTGCTTGTAGTATACACCTCCAGCAAGCTCCAGAGCTCACGCTGATGCAGTATCTAAGCATGGGATTGACACTGAGGATGCATAATATTAGCAAGTCTTACCTTAAGAATGGGGTGGAACACTGTTGACATATTTTGGATTCACAGTCTACCTTCTGGTCAATTTAAGGGGCACTGTAAGAATGATGCAGAGATATTACTACATCTGTAATAGAACACCCCACTAAGAGCAAATGTTAGCTTTTCTTAATATTACTTTTTCCTTAAGGAATCATAAATATTTAATCCTGACCTACCTTACAAAAATGTACCTAATGGCAATATGCACATGCTGAAGCTCAGCCTAGGTATAGCTTTTTGAAGGATATGTTCTTTCAACCTGTTGAGGTCATAATCAATGAAACTGCCTTCTTTATGTGGCAATGAGAAATTTACCCTGAAATTATTCACTGTGATGTTAAGTTGAACCAAGGAGTGTTATCCAGTGTTACCCTACATTATCATCTTGCTCATTTACTCAGAAAATACGAACAATATATTGAGTTATCCACTGACAAATGCAACCAAGAAAGCCTCTTTTTTTGTTCCAAGGGCTTTGGGATTTTACTCAGAAGCATGGTAAATGCAGTGATTTATTAAAACAGAAAAAGTAGTTGAATACTTGTTGAGAGAATATTTTAACATGACACACACAACCATCAGAGTGGTTCATAAGGCTCAGAAAAATTTTTCAGTTAAGTGCTATGTAATATACATGCATATTAAAAAAGCATAAAAAAAGTTATTTAAAACTTAGTCTTGACATTTACTGAATACTTTAATATCTGTTCAGATTTAATGGAAGAAAAAAGGTAGCTGAGACCTTTTTGAAATCGAGTAGTTACCACTTACAATGTTGTCAATCTCTTTTACATGGAAGTAACAAGCAGGAAAATGATTTACTGATTGAAAATTGTAAATTTACATTAAAAAACTTTAGATTCCTTTAAAAAGACCAAAGCCTCAAAGAGGCCATGATGAATCATAGTGCAGGTCTGCAATAAGAAGCTGGAAATACATTTCTGGTCTATAACTGACCCTTATTTTTTTTTTCAATTGTGTAGTACTTTTATTAGTGGCTTCTACCACTACATCCACAAGCTTCAGGATGAAAGGTGCAAAAAGAAGATTAATCTGGAGTCTGGCAACAGTAACTTTTCCATTATTTTCTATTCACAGTGGTTCAACTTCTTTTACCTGTTTAGAGTGTTCTGACCATTACAAACAAGAATATTTGCAGAACAAGATACTTTGTGACATTTCTGCCCTATTCCTCCTCTCTTCTAGAACATGTGTGCCAGAGCATTGCAAGGAGTCTCTAAGTTAGGACTGAATATAATCACACAGTTTTCTTCAAACATTGTAAATAATTATTATCTACAAGGCCAGTCAGATTATTATGAGTAGTTCCAGTAACTTACAGAATTTAGCATGCTGAAACATCATGAATCTAATGGATCATTTAAGTCCATTAGGGTGGATTGAAGAGTCCAGATCAAGAATAAAATTCAAAATGAAAAAGTATTCAACAGATAATGACAACTTCAATATATCTTAATTTAAAATGTGCATTCCTTATTTTCTTCACTGTTTTTATAATTAATTTTATAGTTGAAAGAAAATTAAATTAAGATTACATTGAAATGGGTAATCTACTGGTTTTGTTGATTCCCCAAAATAATGCAATTTGCACTGGCTTATTCATGCTAAATATTCATGACAGTACATTTACTAACAGAGAAAATAAATTTCTATTTATATCTTATTTTTGCAGACAACAACATTAATAGGTCTTCTGAAGACAGCTAGACTGCTGCGATTGGTGAGGGTAGCACGGAAATTGGACAGATATTCAGAATATGGTGCTGCAGTTCTGATGCTCCTTATGTGCATATTTGCACTCATTGCACACTGGCTTGCTTGCATTTGGTATGCCATTGGAAATGTAGAAAGACCTTACTTGGCTCACAAGATTGGCTGGTTGGATTCTTTAGGAGAACAATTAGGAAAGCATTACAATAAGAGTGATGCAAGCTCTGGACCATCCATCAAGGACAAATATGTTACAGCACTTTATTTTACCTTCAGCAGTCTGACAAGTGTAGGATTTGGAAATGTGTCTCCAAACACCAACTCAGAGAAAATCTTTTCCATCTGTGTCATGTTGATTGGCTGTAAGTAGTTTTCTCTTGTTAATTTTTTTTCTTTTTTTCTCAGTGTTTGAGCAACTGACTTAACAGTCGAAGTTAATAAGATTATAAGCATGCAACTGGAAGGGCAAATTCCCAGTGAAAGCAATGCTATATGTGAAAATACATTGTGAATCATGCAGTGTCAGGAAGCAGTCGAGTTACTTTAGTACTCAAAATCCGTTATCCAAACTGTCATAAGTTTAGTGTTGCGTAAGGAAATCCTGTATAATGTAGAAAGCTGAGTTTTGAGTGGATTTAGGAAACTATAGCCCATCAATTTTGGGATAGTCATAATTATGTTTTATTTGTTGATTTAAACCCTGGATCTATAAATGTATGCATACCTTCTTAACTCAGCCTTTCATTCTTAAATTTTACATAACCTTAGTTCCTAGTTCTTAGTTCTACCAAATTAAAATTAGATTAACCTAACCTACAGCACTGAATTCAGGACTAAAAATCTCCAAAGATAAAAATTACCGGCTTGATTACAATTTAATATTTAAGCCTCATCTGCTAACTGAGTTGGTAGTGATACAATCAAATCAATTAAAAGCTTCAGGTAAATCAATTCCACATCTCTGAAAATGTTACTAGTCTCATCTGAGCTGTTTTACATACAAAGTGCATTATAAGAACTGTTACATCACCTGCAAAAACCAATCATACAACTTAAGTAAGTTTTGTTTCTATTTAATCCAGCATTAATGTATGCCAGTATTTTTGGAAACGTATCTGCAATAATCCAAAGACTCTACTCAGGAACTGCACGGTATCATATGCAGATGCTGCGAGTAAAGGAGTTTATACGCTTTCACCAGATCCCCAACCCTCTGCGGCAGCGTCTTGAGGAATACTTCCAGCATGCGTGGACATACACCAATGGCATTGACATGAACATGGTATGTTGTTCTGTTTTTCAGGCACAGATGCTGAGGAATAGACAAATGCATGAGAATTGAGAAAGAGATTGTAAGTCTGCATTACTGATGAGCTCAAAAAGTACAATATTAACAAGGTGGATATATAGCAATTATTGGAAATCAAGCCATTACAAGTTTGGCATTCAAACATGCAATGGCCTAGATTATTACAAGCTATATCCAAAATCTGAATTCTCACTGTGCATAAGAAAACTTGGGAACTGCAGTTCGTCATTATAAGTTTAAGACAAGATAAAAAACCTCACAGGTTTCTTATTTCAGGCATAACTCTTCCAGGTTTTTTTGTTGTTGTTCTTTGGCCTGATTTTCCACTTCCAGTATCAAACAAGAGTACCTTTGTTGGTATCTACAGAGCTACTCTTCTATAAAACCTGTGGAGATCAATTGTTTTTCAAAAACCTATCATGTAACCTAGAACAGGCATATTGGGGGTACGTGGAAGAGAGGAGCAGGCAGGTGGAGCAGCTGCTCTCTTCAGGGTGAAATACGCTAACATATGATAGTAGTTCACTTGCATTCACAACCACAGAATTCTGCACTGAAAGTCTACACAGCACTACAAACCATTTAGCAATCCACAAAATCTCATTTCTAGGAATTGGCAAGGTCCAACACTCATATTTTCTGTTCTTGATTAAAAAAACCTGTAAACGTTCCTTATAGAAAAATACGTTATGTGGCCAGCTAAAAGGAATAACGGTCTGCTTATGACTGAAAGGAGACATCTGTATTTCTGGCTTTTTTTCTGTACACAGCAACATTTTTTCTGAAAAGCTGACAAAGGTTTGAAGACACTGAGAGCATTGTGCACCTTAAGGATCTGTGAATCTCTGTCTTTAGAGGAATGCTTTCCAGAGCTATTCTGAGTTACACATTAGAAACTTTGCAGAGCTCTCCATAAAGTTGGCAAGAACAAGAAAATCTATTCATTTTTGTAATAATTTAACTAGAAATCTACTTTCAAAATTTTGACATAAATTCCAACAGCTTTCATGTGGTATCTATGCATACGTTTGTGAATTGACTGTCAGAGCAGTCCACTTTTATGCAGTAAGCAGAAACAATGGTCTTGATTAAAAGATTTTACACAGATGAATCACTGACAGCTTGACTTTATGGTTACCATTAAGTAAAGCAGATCTTAAAAATAAGACAGCAAATAAAATATATTGTGCTTCACCTCCCACTTCCATGAGTGTCCCCTCCGGAAGAGCATTATGTCCAACACAGGACAAGGTTACTTGTATAAACCTCTGCTGGGGATTACTGCAGTGGAAGGCAGCATCAGTAGCTTCATCCTGCGTGGCACTGAATGGCCCTAATCCCCTCTGATGGTAATGGGATTGTGGGGTACTCAGCACTTTGCAGGATCAGGCCCTTAAGCTGCAGGAGGGTGCAGCCTAAGCCTAAAGTAGCTCATTGAATTATTTCTGAAGATATTACAAAATCATGTACGCCTTAACTAATTCATTACCACTAATGGATGTACTAAGAACACCTGTTTCACATGAAATAATAACTAAAACTGGATGTTGGCAGGTTACATTTTGCATAATACAGGAAATGGTGTACTGGAATTAGTCTTGGATTTGTCATTAATGTGAAATACTAACTACATGGATTAAACAGCCCATATTCTGCAATATGGTTTTGAAGTAGTATGGAGGCTTTGTTTTAAATAAAACGTGAGAAGAAATCAAGTTTAGTATCTTGTTTTGTTCTGTTAGTTTTGTTATTCTGTTAACAATTGTATCCCTCAAGTTTTATGGCAGTCACTTAATTTTCTCAAAAAGTGAGTTTGAATATATTACACTTAGTGCAAGGATAATATGAGATTGTGTGATTTATGTTGTACTTATGAAAGATTTATCTCTTTCCTGTCTGCTTCATACCTAAATACATGGAATAACACCACCCACTGGTAAGAGCAGGAGGTATTTATATCAAATTTAATTCCAGTATAAAGTGTGGAGAATATCCATGTTATCTGTCGGGTTTAGAGCTTGTTCAGTGCTTTCTAATTTTACTTGTAACTTTTTGCATGATGAAGGGGTAGATAGCAAAGGGAAATAATCCAAGTAGAATCAGATGTGGGGCAAAACAGTCACTAAAAATTAGACATTAAGAAATGCTAATCTAACCCTATTTATCAATAACTGTTTTACCCCACAACTTAGATCATGTTTCTCTACCCAAAAAAGGTCATGTGCATATTGGTTTGCGTTAGGTAGTTGCTCTGTAAGAATGTCACTCTGACAAAGTTGCCATGTTAATCATTCTGCATTTTCCTTTGTGTGAATGCTCTTAGTTCAAACCATGTATGCATGCTAACACAAGCACCAATGAAGTTTTCGTGGCTATAAGCCATGTGCATATGAGATGGACTTGCATGTAGTATTAACTTAATTTTGCATGAAATATTTGCATTTACACACCAAAGGACTAATACTGTTCTCAGACAAATGTGTTTGACTCCTGTCAACATTTACTGGGAGTTTTTTGCAAACATCTGAAGGCAGAATTTGATCCAATGTATTTCTTTTTCATTTCATGACTGAAAACTGAATAAAACTTAAAAACTCAGTTCTCTTCCTCCTTTGAAATATGAAATGCATTAATAATTTACATTATATATATATATGTACATGCCATGTAAACACACACACTCTATATATATAT